ATTGCTTTTGCTGATCCCAAAATAAGTTCAATTGTTAATTTCTGGTAATCTTGTACATTTGGCTTTGTAAAGGTTGGAAATTCTTTTATATATTTGGCGGAATGAATTGGGAGTGATTTTAGATGGGACAAAAAACGCTTCTATGCAGAATCATATTTCTCTACGAAGAAGTACATAAGAGGTTCTTCTCCCCGTAAATAAGCAAGCGAGTCCTAAAGTGTTGAGGCATGATGCTTCATCGTCTTCACTGCAGGTGGCAATATATAAAACCTGCATAACATTTCCAGAGTGATCGCTTTCTGTTCCACCTAATGAAAATAAAAGTCGTCTTCTTCTTTTTTTCTTCTTTCCTTTGTCTCGCACACCTGCAACCCACTACTCTCACCATATAATATATAATGTATAAAATGTACCGAATGTTTATTTTACTAATCGCGTGGCCCTCCCTGCCATTAAACAGTACTGAGTAGTATATATATATATATATATATGACAAAATGAGAATGTGCATGAACACAATATGCAAACATGATATATACTTGCTCGATCCAAGGCAAAGCCATATTCCAACTCCCAATAAGTAAATGTGGACGTGGAAATTAAAAATGCAAAAACAGGCATTCCCAGAATTGGAGGCAATATAAGCTCATGCCAAACCCCTCCCCTCCATATATTACAGATACATGAACACACACACACACACACGTATATAACATAGATAAGTATATATGTAGTAGAGGATATAGATGGCATTGTCAAGAAAAAAACTGAAACGAAAAGAAAGATTTCGAAAAGACATGAAAGAAAGATGATGCCCCTCTTTTACAAAAGGAAACGGTATCACAATAAAAAAGAATCGACAGAATATATGTCCGCATTGCGAGTGTGGATATATCTTTACGGCAACTCCATCCAAGTCTTTTCCAATAAAAGTCTCAAAACGTTGGAGTTAAACAAATAATATATTGACATCAATACATTAGTAAAGCTGCTGAAAGGGGATGGAGATCAATATCATACTCGTACTGTGATACAGCTCTGCAACTCCACCCCACCCCCACTACCACTACCACTACCACTACCACCAAGTATAATCTGCTGAAATCATTATTTAATTAACAAACAAGCTAAATTATCTATCTAATTAATCTTAGCGAAGCAATTAGTTTAATGTTTTAGAATGGATCGATATTATCCGAGAGATGAAAGCCCAAAATTTGTTTGCTCTTAACAAACCCTAGGGAGGTTTGAGAAGAAAACGAAAAGTAATCATGAGATCTATTATTTATAAATAAAGAAATAAACAAAAAAGAGCAAGGAGGTTTAACCCTAGATAGCTAACACCAAAGACAATATCAGACAGATTGGAAACCCTAGGGTTGTCAAGAGAAAACTCTATCCAATGATGAACCAAAAAGTAAAAGACAGACAGAAATTCACATCCAGATGTGGAAAACATGAAATTTATAGTGAAAACATTAAGTCAAAAGCAAATGATTAATGTTTTTCCTTTTCCAGACCCTATACATATACAATCCCTCCTCATTACACCAATCTGCTAGTTGATCAACATCTCAAATTAGAAACAGTTTTGGGATTAGTCAAACCCACCTGGAGATCGATGGATCCGCCACACGCAGTAGATCGGAATACCAATATTGGCGAAATTAATCAAGAACACTGCTGTTTTGGCAAATTAGATGGAAGCAGTGAATTGAGGGGAATGAAGCCTGGTCCGAGGACACTAACATACACATAGTTCCTCAGCGTCTCTACGTAGTACGTAGATTCTGATCAAAGATCAGTATGGATTTAAATTTGGAAGGACCCAAGGTTGGTGGCCTCGTGCCAGACAACATTCCCCTCAAAAGGACATGCTTCCTCTACATAAACTCCAATTCTTCATCATCATCATCTCATCAATCTGCAACTCGGCTCTTGTCCAGGGTTGTTCTTCATCTGTTGTGTTAATCCAAACCAAAGAGGCAAAGGGTAAATAAAGCATATTTCTTGTATGGAAGGAAATAGGTTAACTATAAATTATATTGGGGTTTATGTGGTACGTCATATATAAATAAATATATAATCATTTGGTTTACTTACTTTACGGGAAAGAAAAGAAAAAAGAAGGGCTGCATCGAGAGAGAGAGACGGTGCATGGGTCCGGTACTAGTCGATCGTGTTGGTTTCTGGAACCAGCTGTAGGCTTATAGGGTGTGCTGCTTGCTTTTGTCGCTCACACTAATGTTTATATAGGCGCACACTTGACACTCACTGACCCTATTATTAATATCTGATTAATTTAACAACAGAGTCAACGTCTACCGTTGGATCTGGATCCTTATTATTTATGACTATCATCTTTGATTTCCTCAGTTATATATTATCTTATTAAAGATAATAAAGAAAGAGAATTAGTAGTGTAGGGCAGTGCATGGTATATTTTAGTGGATATGTTAGATTGTGCAATCATTGTAGGTAGTCATGACTTACATATAGTGGCCAAGTATGTTATTGAATCATATAGCATTCTAATTCTTTTAAGGGTTAGTTTCGCATTAATGTGCTATGAAAATAATCGCTGTTAAATTTGGTGTGAGAGAAAATAGTTCGTAAAATTCATTAAAATCCAACGCCTTCTTAAATCTGATTGACGTATAATCAAAAAATGAAAGTAGCTCATTAGTTGTTTTCCCTTATTACTGTCTCCCACAATAGTTTTTAACAATAAACGATTTTCTCATAGGTTACCAAGCAGGCTGGACTTTGCAATTTTTTTTTATAAAAAAAATAACTTATCACTCCAAAGAATCAATGCCAAACGGAAACAAGTCTATCTATCCCAAAAAAATAAAATAAAATATAATATGTCTCTTTAGTCTTCTCTCTAGTTGGGCTAACTCACCAAAAGCATCAGAGGCCAATTTATAATATTCGGCCGAAAATTTGACCAAAAAACAAATAAGGTTGAAATGATAGTGGGTTGGTCTTATTGTACCCAAATGGGCTCATTTATTCTTCTTTGATCCATTAGGATAGCACCAGCATATCTTTGCTCTTTCTGGGTTTTGCTAAATTGCAAGTTTCCCTCTGTTTAGTGTTTGCCTTTCAGCAATTTTCTTTTGTCAGATCGGAATTTGAAGATATAACAATAATAATAATAATAATCAAAGAATATAAAAATGGATTAGAGAAGCACACAACAAGTGACTGTAGAGATATTTTGAGCTTAAGGGACAACGTAATGAATCAAAAACTTAAATGTCAACCAAGGAAGAGTGAATTGGTGATGTTGAAACTTGAAACGATACAACAACGACAGCGATTTAATCCCTTGTTCCTAATGATTGGACAACCACACAAGTCACTCCAGATTTTTAGGCACCAAAATTTTGCCTGCTAGTTGTCGTCAGCAGAGGCAGACATTTGGCACGAATCGTTTTCCAAAACGTGTCATTGTAAAGCACCTATACACCAAGCCAAGACCAGCATGAATTTGGTAAGGTTATCCACACACACCACATCAGAGACTTACACGAACGAAAAGAAGAAAATATGGGTAATCATGGTCGTTTAAGACAAACTATTGGGTCGTTTTCACAGGCAGAGTTTGGGTAGGAGAGAACGCTTTAGTCTTTATTATGCTTATCCTCTCAGGCCTCACTCACACGAAACGAAATGCAGCCAGCCAAGCCAAGTATCCTGGACAACAAACTTCTTGTCCGAACATGTTCAATACTCAGACGACATGAATGAACCGCTAGTTCGGCCAATACTGCTTACTTGTTTTATTTGGAAATTTGGAACCAAATTCATGCATGAACTCTCACACACTTTGATTTCAAATTAAAGGGGTACCGTGGCGTGCAAGCGTGGCCTAATCCCACAAGCCAGGCAGGCAGGCAGGCACTCACAGTTCGATTCATGAATGAATGAGCAGAGAGCACGTCAGAATAGGGTTTTAGATGACAGCACAGCACACCAACCATGAATGAAACTGCATAAAATCAGTCAAGTAAATGACAACAATAGTGAACAAGCCCTGAAAAAGATTGGACCTGAAAATGGACCCATCAACTTGTACTGGATCAAGCTAAACGCGAGAGAACAAATTGCAATAAATAAAAATATATATATAACACTAGAAACCAAACTGGAGAGTGAGGTCACTTTGTGCAAAGGCCCACTTGTATGATTGGCTTGAAATGAAAAAAAAGCCAATGCCTTTTTCCTTTGATTTAACTTGACAATTGAGCATTTCGTTTGTCGATATTAGGCGACGCAAATTGATCCTCATCTGCTGCGTAAGTAGTCATGATGGTTTGTTGTTCATATAAATTAAAGTAAAACCTATATATCATGACAAAAGTGCGACCATCAATTCTACATACGATGACAAATTTGTTGTATAATACATGGTACGTATTATTTTTGGTTTTAATACAGATAGTATGATTACTTTACAAGTACTAAAATTTGGAAATTAAACGTTACACTCAACTCAGGAGTCAATAAAGTAGCATGAATTGTCAAAAAGGAAATCTGACACCTAAGCTAACCAAGCGGCTAGCTCATCATCAGGTTCAAGTTTCTTCTTTTCTAACACTATTTGTATTGTATGTACTTTTATTATTATCCACCCAGGAGAGAAGCACACAAGCCAAATTGTATGCAAGTCTTTGTCTTCGTTGTAGAGATGGGAAAGAAAGAAGATAAGAGAGGTCCACAAGGCATGAAATGGAGAGTGGCTTACGTTTGCTAACACCATTGGTGAGGATAATCCATCAATCAACACTTCCAATTACCAGAAAGCAACCGCGTGGCTGAGAAGACACTTTCTTCAATCTTCTTAACTACATATTCTACAAGCTACCATTATTGCCAAGATTCTAAAAGCACCTTCATCTACAATTAGCAATATCTTATTCTTCCCTCCATTATTATTTATCACAGCAACACACAGAACCAAGATAATATATGGAGAAGACAGAGTGCTCCGAAGCACAAAACTTTGGTTCTGTGACCACTAGCCTAGAGCCACAGGCTACTGCCAAGAGGAAAAAAGCCAAGAGCAAAAACCAGAGGAGGTTTACCGATGAGCAAATCAGGTTGTTAGAGTCCATATTTGAAGCGGACTCAAAGCTCGAGCCAAGGAGGAAGGTGCAGGTTGCAAGAGAGCTTGGGCTGCAGCCTCGCCAGGTTGCCATATGGTTTCAGAACAGAAGAGCTAGATGGAAGTCGAAGCAAATAGAGCAAGACTTCAGAACACTCAGGGCTGATTATGACAACTTAGCATCACGTTTTGAATCTTTAAAGGAGGAGAAGCAGTCCTTGCTTATGCAGGTACTTTTACTTTTAACTTGTAATAACAGTCTGAAAATGCATTCCAAACTTGTAGCTAGCTAGGCAGTCAAGTTAAACATGTTGTTTGCTTTTGAACAGATGGAGAAGCTAAATGAACTTGTGGGAAAACCTAGTCAAGGGTTGGAAGGAAACATCATGGCTGATGGTTCGAGACTACAGGAGGAATTGGCGCCGAGAGGAGTGATACAGTCACACAAGAACAATACAAGCAATGATGTTGGGTGCCATGGAGACGAAATACATGAGCTTCTGAGCATGGCTCATGTGGATGCCTCCTCTTTGTCACCTCAAGATTGGCATAGATTTGATCCAAGCATCCTGTTTGATCAGTCGCGTTTTACTAGTTCACACTGGTTAAATTTCTGGACTTGAAGATTGGATGTAAATTGTAAATTACTTTTTGAAGATTTTTCCTCTGATGTATTGAGCATGAGTGAGGTATATATATGGATGGACTCAGCAAAGCTATTGAGTAAGGCCAATTAACATCTTCTACTGATTTGGCCAGAAAGATAGAGACATAACTCAAGACAGACAGGCCTTGAGAGCAATTAAAGAACATGACAACATACAGTTGTTCTTGTTTGGAGAACTTGAGAAGAAGCAAGTTTAAGCCTTGTCCTTTTCCATGCATGGATGTATGTGTTTGTGTGTGTTGCACTTGCAGCAGGACCATGAGCTTGTTGAAATATGACATCAAGCATCAAATTGATCAAGAGTGTGATGCATTATTGCATGAAACAGTAAAGCAGTTGAAATTCTTTCCACACAAACTAATCTGTTCTTCTCACCATGTTTTGAACTGTGGCTTGAAATTGATATCAGGCCACCACTAGAAAATTAATACAAGTTAGAACTAGAGATATGCATCGATTGAAGGATTTTATTAGTGGGTCTATCCTTTTTGTATTATATGGGATTTCATTCACAATGAAAAATATTAAACAAATCCTTCAATTTGGCTCCAGATGTTAATAAGGGTAACTACCATAACTTGAAAGCAAAACGAGTTTTTCAGCCACACTCAAGCAACAAGGCCAATATTTTATCATGTGTTTCATATCTATGCTGCACTGCACACAAGCCCAACATAACAAGGAGACAGAAGCTGACAGCCTGAGACAATAAAACATCACAATTTTCATTTATAAATTTCTAATAGGCAAACTTACAACCATCGGACAGTTTGGCCGAGTGGTCTAAGGCGCCAGATTTAGGCTCTGGTCCGAAAGGGCGTGGGTTCAAATCCCACAGCTGTCAACAGGATTAATTATTTTTCTTTTTTATTTTGTTGGTCCACATCTTCTTTTGCTCAAAACTATATAGACAGCAGGCGAAATCTTAACCAACAGGACAGTTTGGCCGAGTGGTCTAAGGCGCCAGATTTAGGCTCTGGTCCGAAAGGGCGTGGGTTCAAATCCCACAGCTGTCAACAGGATTAATTATTTTCTTTTTTATTTTGTTGGTCCACATCTTATTTTCGCTAAAACTTTATTCACAACAGGAGAACACTTAACCAACAGGACAGTTTGGCCGAGTGGTCTAAGGCGCCAGATTTAGGCTCTGGTCCGAAAGGGCGTGGGTTCAAATCCCACAGCTGTCAAAACAATTAAACAATTTTTTTAAAATTCTATTGCCCCATGTTTATTTTGGGCTTTGCTATGCAGGCCCATTATATTGTTCAACCCACTTGCAGCCCATCACTAATTCAATATCCCAATTCCTGACCACATACTCACTGACATGGCACACTCTTCTTCCTCAACTGTCTTCCCAAAGTGACACAATTGAGCAAGAAAGAAGATAGACAGGGGATCAATGGCTTACTTAACCTTAAAAGCTACGGCCTATTTCAGCTCTTCAATCAACTCTTCAAGTGAGACTTACCTCCCTTTTTCACCCTCCAAGCTCCTCAAGCTCCCTCCCTTCTGGCCATGGGAAAAGGTAACAACAATCTCTCTCTCACTTCGCTCATTCTGCACTATATTGTCATGTACAAATGTATGCATAATAAAACATGTTTCAGCGTCATCAGTTATAACTTATATATAGTGAGCAGGTGAAGGTGGGTCCGCTGAGTGTGTCTCCAATGGGGTTTGGCACTTGGGCATGGGGCAACCAACTTCTCTGGGGGTACCAGGAATCAATGGACAATGAGCTTCAACAGACTTTCAATCTGGCTGTGGACAATGGCATCAACCTTTTTGACACTGCGGACTCCTATGGCACCGGCAGGTTGTTATTTTTCTCGTATAACCCATATGTGGATAGATGGTGAATGATAAAATGTCTACAAGGAAGGTGGTTTAATTCGTAAAGCTATTAAGATATAAGAACAAAACTGGTTGAGTTTTGCTGCATTGCCCCCATCACTTGTTTTTAAAATGCTGCACAATGTCCTGTGGTTGATTGATACTGAGTCCAATTTCTCTACAATTACAAGATGGAATTCGATTCATGCATAAACCCACTTAATATAATCGGTAATCTTCGTGTTTGATGCAGAGATAATATGATAATATTTTGTTAATTTGATGATGAACTTGTGCGTGTCTAAGCTGTTAAATAACTCTCTATTTCAGGGCAAAAGAGGCTGCAGAAGGACATTGTAATTGCTACCAAGTTTGCAGCCTATCCTTGGCGCCTAACACCGGGGCAGTTTTTGAATGCTTGCAAGTATGCTTTTCTCCTTGCGCTTCTCTTCTGCTTCCCCAACTTTACTAGAATTCTGTTGCACCTTCCCCACTTTTAATTAATTTGTTAATCCAAACAGCTCACTAGCTACCTTCAGCTATTTATAATAACAGGCTATGAACAAATATTGCTTTTCCAGTGCCTCGATAGATCGTATGCAGATTGAACAAATTGGAATAGGACAATTGCATTGGTCAACTGCAAATTATGCTCCTTTGCAAGAAAAAGCTCTTTGGGATGGGTTGGTTGCAATGCACGACAAGGTAAGCTCAAGACACACAGTATAAAATGATGTAAAATTCCTTGTGGCTTCAAGATTGAGCACAAAATGATCAACTCATAGAGATGGTACCATGTAGGGTTTAGTTCGAGCTGTTGGGGTCAGCAACTATGGACCGAAGCAGCTTGTAAAGATCTACGATTACCTCAAAACCCGGGGAGTCCCCTTATGTACAGCTCAGGTAGTGTGCCCTTGTTTGTTGATGATATGAAACTAATCAGGTTCTATTTCACTGTGAAAAAATGGCGCTCAAGTGGAACCAGCACTGCTTTTAGTAGTAAAACTATTGCACATGCCGTGCGCTGAAACTCTTGATCTTATATTTAGCCGATTCTAGGTGCAATTTTCTTTGTTAAGCGTGGGAGAAGATCAGCTGGAGATCAAGAATATATGTGATTCTCTTGGTATCCGGCTGATTGCTTATAGTCCTTTAGGACTTGGAATGCTTACTGGGAAATATACACCCTCTAATCTTCCGCGTGGCCCTCGGTACGTGGTTTCTTCATTTACCCTTTTTCCATATGGTAGGTAGACAGAGTGTGAGACCAGTAGACATTGTCTACAGATTAATTGGTGTTTCTGCAGGGCCTTCCTATTCAGGCAAATTCTTCCAGGACTGGACCCTTTATTGAGCTCACTAGAAGAAATTGCACAAAAAAGGAGCAAAACCATACCACAAGTAAATTCAGTTTTCATTATTACATATTGGCATGCGTCCTACTTATGACACTAACATAATTTACACGATTATACGGCCGTGAAAAGCTAGACAGGCTTTGGGCCTAATGATTTAAGTATGAATAAAAACTGTTGTCTTTGTAGGTTGCTATAAATTGGTGCATTTGCAAAGGGACCATTCCCATACCTGGAGTGAAGACAGTGAAACAAGCAGAAGAAAATTTGGGCGCTTTGGGTTGGCGCCTGAGTTCCCAAGAGTTGCTCCAGTTAGAATATGCGGCACGGGAGTCACCTCAAAAGATGATCCAAAACATTTTCCAAACAAGGTGAATCCGATTGTTATGTTTTTTTCTTGGAGCAGGGAAAACAGAATGATGCTAATCACTAGATCATATTTAACACTATTGCGTCTGCCTTCTTTTTCTTCTCCTTGAACAGATGAATTTGGACAAGAAGCTTTGGCGAGTTTTTGTGTTGAAACTTAAAACATGGAATACACGGGAGAAATGAAATTGAAAGTGCCCTTAACAAGATCAGAATGTGAAGAATAAGTGGGGAAAGTAAGCAGGAAAGAGGCTACTTATTTGCTTTTGGTGTAAAGAAGCTGGGAAAACGAACATTACTCAACAAATAATCGCAACTGGTCATATTGGAAAGAGTATCCCTAACTTAGCCTTGTCTTGTGTGCTAGAGAATGTACGTTCTTATTATCATTCGCAGTAATCACGGTCATATCCAAATTATATATGGATTCTGGAAGTACAAATTTCATCATTCATGTCACAAACACACAAAAATAAAAGTATGCAATATGGAAAGGCTCAAACTTAATGAATGCCAATCTTCAAAGAGGTTCAAACCATGGCGAAATAAAACATAGGAAACTAGAAATCCCAAAACAAGTTAAGTTCGAACATATTGATGTTTCTAAATTTTCTAACAGAAAACTGTCTGAGGCTAATAGAGTTTCAAAAGAAACAGCCAATAACCTAAATGACCTAACAAAACACGATATACTGCTGGCACAATCCACAGTCTACTTGACCTTCTTCTTTGGCCTCAACTGCATTCATACAGAAAATAACACAAATAAAGAACAAAACTAAAAAAAAATAAGGTATTGAGAAAAGTAACAGGATCATTCTCCTATATAAAATACCTGGTTGCTGTGTCCACACTTCTTTTTCCTGCAGTTGACAGCACGAGGGTGCAAGCGTGCATAACACCTGTTCATAAGCATTCATACAATAATGTCAAAGAAGTTCCGTGTGTGGAAAAAGCAAGGAATTTAATGAGGAAACTGAAGTAAACCTAGTTAAAAGAAAAACATTTTCAGTAGGCTTGAATTCATAAAACAACCAGATGACTTCAAAGGAACTTGACAAACAAAAGAAAACCGTGTAGAGCTTAATCAAACATTTTACAAGTAACATAAAGGTGGAAACTCACTTGCGGCATATCATCTTATCTTGGTTGTATTTCCTAGCCAATGCCATGAGAGACGGCTCAATAATCCCACCACGGAGCCTCAGAACCAAATGCAAAGTTGATTCTGAAAAATATTAAAGCAACATAAAATTTCAGACAACCTACAAATAAACAGAACGCATAAATGCTCAAGTATTAACACCACAAAACCGCCTGCAACACAAATAAAGTGGGTCATCACTGGGTCCAAACCCTGCTTTGAGACCTTTGACCAAAGTCGGAATAAATTGACTACGAAAATGCTGAATTTGTAATTATCAAAATCATTTCTCATCTATCTGTGCTATCAGCCAAGCATAATCCCCATAGTGACGGGAAACATAATTCAAAAAGTCATTCACATTTTAAAAACAACTTGAACACTTCACAATTATACTAAGTCTTAGCGCTAATCGCATACCCTAACGATATCAATAAAGGAATGAAATGGTATCAATCCAGATAACATTTTCCTAGAGTTTCTGAGCAACCAAACAGGGGGAAATAAGAAGTTAACCTTTCTGGATATTGTAGTCGGCGAGAGTTCGGCCATCCTCGAGCTGCTTCCCGGCAAAAATGAGCCTCTGCTGGTCCGGTGGAATACCTAAAAAAATAAATAATAAGAAACAAATTAGCCATTAAAAATCATCACCGTTCAATCGTACTACTTTGAATTTGAGCATGCAATTGATGATTGCAAAATGTAGAGAGAGATTAGAGAACGGGAATGGTTTACCTTCCTTGTCCTGGATCTTGGCCTTGACGTTGTCGATGGTGTCACTGGACTCCACCTCAAGGGTGATAGTCTTCCCGGTTAGGGTTTTCACGAAGATCTGCATCTTCTCCGACTCTCTCTGTCTCTCCCTCGACGGCAACAAACCTCTTCTGCCCGTAAGCTTTCTTGTTTATATGCGACACGAAATGCGCATATTAGGGTTTTGAGAGTTAGTAAAACAAAAATGGGCTTTTTAAAATGAAAATGAAGTGGGCCGTATTTAACAAAAATATAAAGTGGGCCGAAGCCCAAATAGCCTAACAGAAACCCACGCGCGTCCCTTGGGTGTACCGCCCAAGTCAGTTACCGTTGAGACCAAAGACCAAACTAAAAGCACACTAGTATGGAGCTAGAACCAAACTTGCTCTAAGTGATCATTGCAAGACAACTTTTGGGTCCGATCGGTCATTTTCATAACCAGTAGGTAAAATAAATTGGGTGCGCACTGAGCATGGCCTCCTCCACGTGCGCAACTACCTCTCTTTCTCTCTCATCGTCTCTCCGCACGAATCTCTCATCGTCGCGTACATCTCGCGCGCCGTTGATCTCTCTCCGAGTGTCACCGATATTCGAAGCTCTCTCGTTTAAATCCGTTCGCACCAATTTCAAGAACCCAATTTCTGCATCGGCATCAGCATCAGCATCAGCATCAGCTAGGATGGCGGGTCAGAATAAGAAGATAGAGAAGTTTGAGACGGAGGAGGAAGTGGCGGTGCGTTTGGCCAAGTACACCGCAGATCTGTCCGCTAAGTTTGTGAAAGAGAGAGGGGCTTTCACCGTCGTTTTATCCGGCGGCTCTCTCATTGACGCACTCAGGTCCCAAACCTTATTTTTATAGTTGTATTTTATTTACTGTCTTTTTATTATTTATTTATTCTTTGGTGACGCTTTGTTTATGTTTTTTTTTGTGTGTGGGTATTTTGTTATTTTGTTTGGATTTACAGGAAATTAGCGGAAGCACCGTATAAGGATTCAGTGGACTGGTCGAAATGGCATGTGTTCTGGGTGGATGAGAGAGTGGTGAAGAGGGATCACGTTGACAGTAACTACAAGCTTGCTCTTGATGGTTTCCTCAGTAAGGTAAATTATATATCGTGTACAGTTCGCACTTTATCTAGAATTTTTATGCTTTCTTCTGAATCGTTGTGTAGAAACACTAGCTTTTGCTATGTTCCATGTAAAAGCCGTGAATTTTATTTTGATACTGCTCTGGTTGTTTTTCTTCGCGTGAAATTTGGAAATTTTTGGTCTTGCTTTTGTGTTTATGGGTTGGATAGGAATTATGGTTTCAATAATGAAGAAAAGCAATGGCATTGGCAGCATAATTTTGTGTTTATGTTGATGTATTTCTGTAGATTATACTTTGAGGCTTAGTATTTTCTATTTTGAAAGGAAAATAATTCTATGTTACGAAAAACTGGTTGGATTAGAGGTGACAATATTGTGATGTGAGTGCACCAGTAAATTGAAACTAATGACTAACTGGTTATGAGCAAAAGAAAGAAACGTACACTTGAGGTTAAGGGTGACTGGAGTAAATGTTTGATGTGTGGCTATGATCCATGCATATTATTATTTAGGTTTCCTCTACTAATTATTAGGTGGTCTCATGCTTTTCAAATCAACAGTAAGCTGTCTTGTATCAAACTTCAAGTAAGCATGTGGCCATACTTAGTCTTGCAAGGGCCTAGAGAGACATATGTTAATCATTCATCCACTTAATCTTGCCATGTTTTGGTATTTTGGTAGGTACCAATTCCCCCGGGCCAGGTTTATGCCATTAATGATGCACTTTCAGCCGAGGGAGCAGCAGATGATTATGAGACCTGTCTTAAACATTTGGTTCAGCGGAATGTGATAGCCACTTCAAAAACTACTGGGTTTCCAAAGTTTGATCTCATGCTTCTGGGTATGGGCCCAGATGGACATCTTGCTTCTCTATTCCCCGGTCATCCTCTTGTCAACGAGAAGAACAGATGGGTCACTTGCATTAAGGACTCACCAAAACCACCTCCAGAGAGGATTACTTTCACCTTTCCAGTGATCAACTCTGCTGCATATAATGCAATGGTGGTGACCGGTGAGGGAAAAGCTAGTGCTGTCTGCACAGCACTTGGAAAAAGTCAGCATTCTGAAACTTTGCCTGCTCAGTTGCTTTCAGCTGAGGATGAGTTAACTTGGTTTTTAGACAAGAGTGCAGCTTCAAACCTATAGGAGGAGGATGTCGTTGGCTCTGTGAGATGTTGCAGTTGCATACTATGTATTTGCGTGTGAACTTGGTAATGTGTTCTATGCCTTAGGCAGAAATCACTGTGATTCACTGCTGGCTTTTCTTACTAATAATTAGAACTGGTGACTTCGATGGTCCTCGGTGGTGGTAATAAGAACTGAAATAAGATGTAGTTTGATGTATTTTTCAGCCCCGGATACAATGTTATTGTCCTCCTCTCCCTCTCTCTATCTTGTGGTTGGTTGCATTGTAAGGCACAGGTTACACGAGTCAGATTAATTAGATTATCCTGACCGTGCCGTGCTTTGGTTGGTTCACTTTGTCTATAGCATGAATAAAGTTATCCCTTGCGTTTGGTTTACATTGTTTTATGATTAGAAGAACCATATTGGGAATATCTGCAAATGCACTCAATGTATCTATATCTATCGTCTTCATTACAGGTACCTTGTTTTTTAGGACTGACGTGCTAAGATGTGCAACCTTTCTTTTTTCTTGTGGATCTTTTCCGTGCACATGCAGGTTACAGATTCCTTCGCCTTTGTTCTAAAACCATTATTTTCTGGGTTCAATTACTATTTTCTTTGTAACTTGGGTTATTTTAGGGGCACTGGGAATGGCCCATGACGTTTTTATTCTCAATTTAGAGATCGCCAGTGGTCATTCCAAGACTTAGAACGTGAACCACACCCTTAAAAAAGAAAAGAGCTTTTGCCAATGAAAGTGCTTGTGGGTTTTACTTACTTCTTTTAAGCACATGTATAAAATTATAAAACCAATGCCTGACTTGAGCACATGACAAGGAAGGAGCACGAGAGCACCCTCTCCTTGCACACCATCATCCACTTGTTTAAATATGTGTATAGTTTAATCCAGTGCATTGTTCTATGGGTGACATAAGATGAGGCTGTAAACTTTTGTATCTTTCCCATTTCCATCCAAGGAAAACTGACTTGGATTTCTAAACTTGCGTTCAAGTCCTCAAAAATTTCGCCCTCCTCCTCCCTTTCAAGCAATCCATGCAATTGGCCCAAGAAGATAAAGTATATTTTACAAAGAAGAAGCAGATGTTTTTGCTCATGTTCAAGTTAATGGCTAAATGAACCTCATTTTCATGTATGGCTGAGAAGAACTGGTGTCTAAAATAAGTAATCTTGATTCTTGTCTTTGGCTTTGGCTTTGGCGCTGGGATCTACCAAATGCGACAAGCTCATTGATTCTCCAGACCCACTAAGAGGAAACACTATTCAGTATAAACCATCATGATCATAGTACATACACTGTACACATATGTATTTAGTTAAAAGGCGTGTTTTAATGCCGTTTACCAAGTGTAGTGTTGTGACGTTAATTAAAGGGAGTTTTACTAAAACACCTAAAATGGAGGTTGAAATTATAAAAAAACCCCAGCACTATTTAAACATATAAACACACCAAAAACCAATCATTACACACACTCAAAACCCATTTATAAACACACCCAAAAAGTTAACTTTGGTGTTGATTTTGGGTGTGTTTCTATGTTTAAATAGTGCTTGGGTTTTTTTATAAATACATGTCTAGGATTGGGTTTATTTATAAATTTGTATTAATTAAAAGTGATTATGAAAGTCACTCTCACATAATTGGACTTAGTAGTGGAGAGGAAAATGAATGATGGTGCAAACCATTATGGATAATGAATTACAATATATCAATCAATATCCTAATTAAGTTTTGCCAAGAATGCCAAAGCAATTACTTTTTTGGAATGGCCATCATATTTGATTTCAGGTTCTTTAACATGCTTTAAGAATAGCAGATTGATGGAAGGCTCACTGTCACTGCATTTTCATCTCAGCAGGCAGGAGTTTATTGAGACAAGCACTGACCACAGGCGTGTTGTCATTGTCTTATGGCTCACTTTGGGGTCTCCAAATTATGCTCTGGAATCTCTTTCATGATTGTGGTAGGTGATAAAAAAGAATGTATACTGTAGGCCATGCAACATACAAGGGCCCTGCAGAAAAGTTCATCATTTTGCATGTTTTTTGTAACAAAATAACAGTAACCAATAATAACTCCAGTAAAAAGAGAGAGAGAGAGAGAAGAAAATATGCCAAAAAATAGAAAAGTGGGAAGAAGAAAGAAAGAAAGAAAAAGCATATTCTCCACTAACCATCGTTTTCCCTTCTTTTTTCATTCCTG